TATAATATTTCCCATTACTAAAAAGTATACCTAAAAGGAAATTTGGATTTTGTTAATCATTATCAATAAGTAGATAAATTTTTATTATGATTGGTGGTTCATTTAATTTTGATCATAACTAAACGATTTTTATAGCCAGACGAACTAGAAATTTTTATATAATTGATCTATACGAATTGGTTTTTTATAATAATAATAGTTAACTAGTATTGGATAAAATATCAATTTTTTTGATACGTAATAAAAATTACCCTAAATACACATAGCAGGAAATAATTTATTTTCAGATAAAGCTCTAAGAGGAAAAGAGTATAAGTTTGCATTCTTAACATGATATAAACAGTAATTAATATTGTCCTGCAGATTTAAAGTTGAACAACGTACGTTATAAATTATGTATACGTATTATCTGAGTATGATAATATTGTCAAAAATAAAAACCTTCTGAGAAATTTTTTCTCGTGACTTTATTGTTAAAATGAATTACTAAAAGATACAATTTTAAACTGTAAATCTTCAACTGTTAATATTACTTAAATCTTAAACTACTAACAAAGAAGGTATGTAAAGCAATTCACTTGATTCTCACCTTTGAATATCATGCGAATTATCCGGCAATGTTGAATATATGCATAAGATAATTTTAACCACCTTGATAAAAGCACGGCAGTTTCAACGGTAAACTTGCTCCGATCAAATATGTATCTTAGATACGTTGAAACGCTCTTTTGTTATTCAACATTATCTTCTAAAACGCCAATTGCGCAGTTGAAGGTCGATTTAGAAATAAAATATGTTTACTTTATTTTTAATAACAAATATTATTATTTATAAGGTAAAACAGTGTATTAAACTGAAAATATTTATATAATAAAATAAAAATTTATCAATAGAATATGAAAATATTAATCCTTTGTTTCATATTAAAGTCTTACACATAAAATGCTAGATTTTCATTTAAAAGCCAAAATAGTATTTCTTAGCATATAAAAAATATTAATATACATTGAATAGATTTATATCACAAACTCATTGGATGATACCTTTGTGAATTAGCCCACCAATACAAATATAAAAAATCCATCTAATATAAAATATGAAAAATTAAATCCTGTAATCGTTGTAGCTGATTTGTAAATTATTTATGTAGTTGGCAACGTAGTCAAATGATCAAACATCCTAGCACACATATAAATAATTTTTTAGGTCGATTGGATAATTTTTCCACAGTCTGAGTGATAATTTTCCATTTTACTGTTTGAAGATGATGAGGTACAAGCAAGCCGATTTTGAGGATGACAACACCAGCAGTATCGGCTCGGTCGTATTGAATAGCGATCAGACCAGCACATCTGCCACTCACATACGCTATCACACGGTTGGTTGAGCTATTTCGTTCTCTCTCGTTCACACATATGCGCATAAATGCATGTGAATGCAAGCATATATTTATAAGCACGTGCACATCTGTTTTCATCGAACGATGCCGTCTCTCGCTAAAGCTCGCGCGTATAAAGCATTTCTCCGCATCGTTTATTTGATGCAAGCAATTTGTTGGTTTTTCACATACACACGATCTAAAACTAAATTAAATACTTATCAATACATATATAAGCCATAACTTACGAATTTAATCATTTAGCATAATTTGAAAAATTGAATTATAGTAGTTTTCTTACTCGATGGTCCATGCACCAGCAGCAAATTAAGGCTAAAATTAAAAACTATTTTTTTTTTCAAACAATTATTTTTATACTACTACGTATTTTTTAATTACATTGAACTGGTATGCTTCCTTACCCTTAGTTTGTAATACCACCGTTGATGTAAAGGTCGTGCAAATGTAATTAATATAATACATATAATATGTACGTGTATATACATATAATACAGACAAGGGTTTTATTACAGGGAACCTCACTATGTCGGCAGGGGACGGTTCTCGAGAGACTATTGCTGTCAGTATCTCTGTTTTTCTTGTTTATAATTGTTCTGCTCTTGTTGGTGCTTGTTCACAAACACTCGGACCAGATTCGGAACCTTCATCACGGAATGCTGTACAGCGAAGGTATGTGAAAGAAAACTTTTTTGAAATGCTACCTCTCGTATATACTGAATTGTATATTTTGGTGTATTTTTTTCTATTGTACATTGGCGTACGATGATAGGAGATCGAAAAAATAGTTTTCGCCACAAAAACGCCATAGGGGCTGTTTGCGGTAGGGTAACTTCTGTCGAATGGCACTTGTGAAGCGAACACTATTTTTTCTACAGTGTTGGGCGCAGTAAATGGCCAAATGTCACGAAAAACGCCCTAATGTAGGAAAAATACGTTTAATGTGTGAAAATGTCACATAATTGGACGAGTTTGTCTGGCATCGAATTATCACTCAATTTCGATTTCAAATTCATTTCTAGTTGTGTGATCCAAAGCTGTCAAAGTACATCAATACAATTAGGCTACTTTTAGGCACTAAATCAATATTTATGTGTCTTCATGTCATTGTCTCTGACTCTACAATCATATTCATGGAAGAATTCATGTATTACCGAATCAATTTTATTTTTAATGACCATAAAGTTTTGCATTTCTATAGATCTCTTTGTCCTGATCTTCACACGCTATTCGTTCCATGATATTTGCGACATTATTTATCATTAGTATCTCTGAATCTCAATTTTTTAATGGATTGATCAAATCATGTTTCCTCATAAAAAATTATGCATTAAAATTCTTATGCTGACATGTATGTATGTTTGAAAAAAGTCTCTTCAAATGTTCATGAAAAAAAAAAAAAAAATTTGCAAGAGTAAAAAAGCTCTCAAGAGTACATATGTATGTGTATACCTCTTGACCGCATGACGAATTCGTAAAGTCTTTCTTTCACTACAAGAAGAAAAAAAAAAAAAAAAAAAATTGAATAACAAAAAGTACATTCTTCGCGTGCGTACTATAAGCTGTTACGTATGAAAAGGCAGTCGACTTGATAAAAGCTTCTCCGCGGCTCTTGTTGCCACATGCGTATGGGCTTGAAAAGATAAATAGAGAAAGGAAAGAAAGAAAGAAAGAGGGAGAGGAGGTCGAAAATCGATGATATTTTTAGGCTCGACTGAAAATAAGCGTGTCAGTACGAGCACCCGCGTCTGTCGGAGTGAGTGATACCGAGGAACCTGGGGAGTGCGGATTTCGCCGGTACACACTTAAACGTGATTCGCGGCTGCATCGCAAATCGTACTGAAGGTCGGTGATCGAGGAAAATATTTTGGAAATATCGTTAGAATTTCTAAAGATCTGGGTGCCAGTGGTTTATTTTAATCCGATGTATCGAACGCGTGCGCGCACTTTGATCTCATGAAATGATGTTTTCGCTGTCGTTGATTTTATTAGATAGCCGATATTGAGGTACATTCATTTTTTACTAATAATTTTTTTGCTTTTGACTAGAAATAATTTTTATTATGAATTTTATTGATAATAATGACANAAAAAAAAAAAAAAAAAAAAAAAAAAAAAAAAAAAAAAAAAAAAAAAAAAAAAAAAAAGAGAGAGAGAGAGAGAGAGAGAGAGAGAGAGAGAAAGAAAAAAACGAGCAGGCTGAACTCATGAATTTATTAAACCTAGAATGGGGCGCATGAAAAAAGCTTCCACTGACGCTCCATGGCCATAATCACGCATTTTTATTTGTACACACTTTACTCTGGGTTTTTTTTTTTTTTCAGAAAACTCGCACTGCATAACAGAGCACTGTGTGACAGTGGCGGCCTCGATAATAAACAGCATAGACCCCTCGGTCTCACCTTGCGATGACTTCTATCAGTATGCCTGTGGCGGCTGGATTAAGAAAAATCCTATACCAGACGGTAAAAGCATGTGGGGTACTTTTGGCAAGCTCGAGCAGGACAATCAGCTGGTCATAAAAAATGTGCTGGGTTAGCTTTTTACTTTTATCTCTTTCAATCGATTTCTTGCACTCGTACAACCATATAGTGTCTTTCTTTTTTTCATTATTGTATTATGGTTCTTTTTTTTCTTTACAAAAGTATGTATAATTAAATTCTACTGAAGTCAACAATACTGGTTTTAAGACTTTGCAAGTTACTATTTTTTTTACACATGTTTTGGTCACATTGTAAAATTAAATTCATGAATAATTTAGCACGTAACGGGTAGCATGACACCTTATTTTTCAAATCATTCATAAATTAAGTACACTCTGAACACTCAAATCTTTTTGAAAAATCCGATGCATGATTTACGATCAAAGTGTCAAGTTTCAAAAAATCGCTTAATTCCCTCGGAATTTTCAAACCCGTTTCCAAACGCCAGCAAACTGGTTTTCGAAAATTACACGTCCTTTTTTACCTTTCTCGAAATTAACGCCAGTCGTTTTTCCACTCCACCCGTATCAACACACCCATAGAATTACCCCCAGACGTTTTATTTCTGTAAGTTAATTATAACCGATTTTCAAGTATAGGTATCATCCCACCAATTTGGTTAAAAAAAAAAAAAAAAAAAATCCCATGAAACTTCGATCAACCCGATTTGAAATAATTGCTTGGGAATTGCGCACAGCCGAGTTTCTCATTTTCCTCGTTCGACGTACGGTTGCAGAAAGATCCTTCGCGGACATGAAGTCAAAGAGCGAGAAAAAGGCCAAGTTGTTTTACTTGTCGTGCATGGACGCGAACGAGACGATAGAGTCACTGGGCGCCAAACCAATGCTCGATCTGCTGGACAGTATCGGCGGTTGGAGCGTAAGTGGGAAATTCGATTTGAAAACTTGGTCGCTCCAGGAGAGCATGCACGTGCTGCAAAACGTGTACAACATGGGTGGCTTGTTTTCTTGGGCGGTCAACGAGGACGATCGCAACAGTAGCACTCACATTATTCAGGTACAGTTATTTCCTGTCACTGTTGTTTTTTTGTGGCACAAATTGTTAAAAAAAAAATTAAAATTTTTCATTATCTATGAAAACATACGCTCATTGTGGTAAAAAGAAAATTTAGCTGCTCAAGTATGGAAGCATTAGCGATATTCTTAGTCTCAAAGTTTCCATGACAAAAATGTCATTTAGCATCAACGTGAGTATGACAGTAGTGTAATGAAAAAAAAAAAAAAAATTGATGTTAAGTTGAAAAATTTCCAAGAGTCAATGACATGTTTCCAACTGACACTGTCAATGACTTGTATTTAACGACCAAACTTACTTAGTGCCATGTACACACATTGAGTTAAGAGGTCCTTGTCTGGCTACCTTCACACTCGCTTTTTTAATGTTTCATCATCATCGACACTGACATTTCAATTTGATTTAAATCAATTTAACTAATATCTCTATAATATAAAAATAATAAACCTTTACAGATTGATCAGGGTGGTTTGACGTTACCAACAACCGACAGTTACTTGAACAAAACGGAGCACGGCAAAGTTTTGGCAGCTTACTTGGACTACATGACACAGGTGAGGTACATTGCTCGTATCGATCGAAAGACGGTACAGTTAATTACCGATGTGACATTGGGCATTTTTAAAGATCGGAGTCTTACTCGGTGGCCAAGAGAACGCAACGAAGAAACAAATGCAAGACATCATCGACTTCGAAACGAGGATCGCTGAAATCACGATACCCCAAGAAGAAAGGAGGGACGAGGAAAAGTTGTACAACCTCATGACGATAGACGAACTGCAAGCTAAGGCCCCGTTCGTGAGTATATTCGTGTCTGTTCGATCGAACCGATTCGGTGATCTTCTTCGATCGTATAAAAAGTATAACAGTTGGGTATTTCTATGCAGATGTCCTGGCTCGATTACTTCCAAAATGCGACTCGATTGGTGAACAAGCGCATCAGCGGCAAGTTGAAAATCGTCAACTACGCACCCGAGTACTTCAGGAAGTTGACGAATCTGGTTCAGAACTACCAAAAAACGGACGATGGAAAATTGTACGGCTCATAAAAATGGCACTGGATAATGTACCTCTTTCTAATCGTATGCATTTCTCAGGACGCTCAACAATTACCTGGTGTGGCAGACCGTCCGAACGCTCACCTCTTGTTTGTCAAAGCCGTTCAGGGACGCGTACAAAGTTTTGCGCAAGGCGCTGATCGGCTCCGAGGGCAGGGAGGAACAGTGGAGATACTGCGTGACCGATGCCAACAACGCCATGGGCTTCGCAATCGGGGCCATGTTCGTCAGGGAAGTTTTTCACGGCAAGAGCAAGCCGATGGTAAGACCCGATACGTATCGAGGATTCTGATGCGTGCCAGTTTTTCAAAAATTTCAATCCTCCAACTGTGTGGAAAATTTGCTATGTCCCACACTCTGTACGAGTATTGGAAGTTTAATATTGGGTGCCAAAAATATACTTTTACGCCCTGAAAGATATATTTTCTTTAATAGAATCCTGTACATCATTTTTATCAAATTTATGCGTACTTTTCATTTGCTCATGCTATTTATGAAATCTCGATAAGAAGCGACCGTGGCACAAAGTTATTGCTCGTACGAAAAAACGTGTTTTCCGCTCTCGTGTAAGAGTAATTTTTCGCACACGTTCACGTATACGTTGTCGCTTTGAGGAGTAACAAAAAAATGATGTTTTTCAAAACAGGCCGAGGAAATGATAAACGAAATAAGGACGGCTTTCACGAAGAATCTGAAAAACCTGGACTGGATGGACGGGGAGACGCGAAAATCCGCGGAGGAGAAGGCCAACGCCATCACCGACATGATCGGATTTCCGAATTTCATCCTTAACCCCGGCGAGCTTGACGAGCGCTACGACGACCTGGAAATCAAGCAGGGCGAGTATTTCTTCAACAACATTCGCGTGAACAAGTACAATCTGGTGAAGAATCTCGAAAAGCTCAATCAGCCGGTTAACAAGACCACTTGGATAATGACGCCACCCACGGTCAATGCCTACTACACCCCGACGAAGAACCAAATTGTCTTCCCCGCTGGGATACTCCAGGGCCCGTTTTACGACATGAAGAACCCGAGCAGCTTAAATTTCGGGGGCATGGGGGTCGTCATGGGGCACGAGCTGACGCACGCTTTCGACGATCAGGGTAGGTTCTACGATTTCTTATACATCACCCTCCACACGATTGCTTCGCACAACATTTCAATGATACAAAAAATTCAAAAAAATTATTTTAATGTCTTGTGGACGAAATGTTGGGTTTAAATAATTGTCGGCTTGTACGGAATGAATGTATTCTGCCAAAGGTCGAGAATACGACTTGCACGGAAATCTGCACCAGTGGTGGAACAACGCGACGATAGGCCGCTTCAAGAACCGAACCGAGTGCTTCGTCAATCAGTACGGCAATTTCGAGATTGAGGGCCGGCACGTGAACGGCCGCCAAACGCTGGGTAATTCACCGTTAAAGCGCTCTCTCTCTCTCTGACGGGTTATTTTCGCGTGGAGTTTTAAATTCACGTGGGCCTTTTTTTTCCCCTTTCGCCAGGAGAGAATATCGCCGACAACGGGGGTCTGAAAGCCGCGTACCACGCGTACTTGACGACGCACAAGAGCTACGAGGATACACTAGCGTTGCCTGGACTTAATTTGACGCATCGACAGTTGTTTTTTGTTAACTTCGCTCAGGTGAGGCTTCAAGTATTGTATGGAATCATTCTTTCTCGGTTTAGTATTTGAATAAAAGTTTTTTTTTTTTTTTGAACGATATTGTTTGGAAATTAGTTTCAGTGGTAATTGTGAAAACTCATACTTCTAAAAGTAATAAATTAAGATTTCGGTATGAGGTAGTTCTGCAAACTTACTTATGTTGCCGATTTTTTCCAATTTTTATTAAAACTAGTAATAAGAACCTTAAAAACTGCATAAAAATTTACAGTGATATTATTGAGTGTCAAAAAAAAAATTTTTTTTTTTAAAGGACTAATTCTAAATTGTCTAGTAGTATAAATCATTTCAGACTTCAACAAAATTTTTCATGATTTCGTAACGATTTCATAACAATTTTATTGGCTATTTTGTGAAAAATTATTTATTTTTAATTACATTCATTTCTTAAGTGTACAGAGTTTTCATGATTTCATGACAATTTCAGATTATTTGACATGACCATAATATTAAACCTCTTTTCAATAAATGCAAAATTTTTTCAATACAGTTATACGTAGTTCCGGTTCAGGACACATTTTTTAGCATAAAAAAATAAAATTAACTTGATCTGTTTAAAAATAATTTTCAAAACACTAACTTATATACTGTGTGCTTACAATTAAATTCCAGTATGATTTTATGAGGTTCGTGGTACTATTTTACAATATAGCAATTTATGTCGATTGGTAGACGATTTCGATGGATTTCACATTGATTTCACAAGAGCGGGCCCAAATCAATTAATCAACGGAATAGCTCCTATAAGAGGCCTCACAAGTAGTAGTGTTGACATAAAAATTTGTTTAATATCGGCAGGTGTGGTGCTCAGCCGTGACGTCAGAGGCGATCGGCCTCCAGATCGAGAAGGACTCGCATTGTCCGGCGAAATTCCGGGTCATCGGGCCTCTGTCGAATCTAGATGACTTCTCCGCCGAGTTCAACTGTCCAAGGGGCTCGAAAATGAATCCGGTGCACAAGTGCGAGGTATGGTAAAACGTACGGCGGCAGGAACAAGGGGTTCTCCGAAAGTCGAGGCACCGCTTGAGATATGGGCTATAACGTGGGAGGCGAGTAAGAGAGAAATCGCTCGCTGCTACAATAATAACGATACACCTCGGGGCTGAGTTTTTTTTATCAAGCATCGATTGTTGACCTCCGATGCGAAGCCCTTGTTGTTTGAGAAATGCATGAAAAAGGTACGATAAAGCGTGTACCCATGAGATCGAATTTATCGTGCTCAGATGAGAACAAAGATGTTGGAAACGCTTTCGTGTGAGGATTGTATGGGCACGGTATGACGAGATGCTGAGTTTGAACGTAAGGAAAACAATAGTATTGCATAGGCTCTGATTTATCGAGACGAGGCCGTTTTAAAATTTTTTAGACCATAATTTTTTGCACACGGTACGAATTACAAATAATTATGAAAGAAAACTGCCTTATATTTTCGACAAACTTCGCGTCGCCGACTTCACTTCTGTACTTTTCCATTTTTATATACACCCTCTTACATTTTTCATTTTGGACAGAAAATATGAGTAGAGGTGAGGAGGACGAGAGAGAGGGAGAGAAATATGGGGCGAATTTATTTATACCGTAATCGTCTCGCCAAAACAGAGCAAAATATAGTCAAAGTGCTGTCAAGTCGTTTCTGCAGGCAGGATAGGATTAAGCTTACATAATTTATTTTTAGCAAAATTGATGTAAAGACCAATGTGAAAGATGTTGATATCTTAGAATTATACAAAGAGTAAAAATAGTTTACCGTTAAACTAGTATACTTTATTAACTTGCGTGTGCTGATAAATGTTTTTAGAGTATAAATAATATTTTTGAATAAATGTATTTTTAATATTTTGCCAAAATTTGTCAAAAAATACTAAATGTTTATTAAGTTGTGGATCTGAACGCAAGTACACTGTGATAGTTTTACCAATATCGGGTATAAAGAAACTGCGGATGAAATGTAACTTACAATTGTTTAATCAACTTTTTTTGCCATCAGTTTCTCTTAAGTATCCAAATGTGTATATTCAAAATAATAAGAAAAAACTTATTTTTTTAAATATAAAGATTTTTGATAATAGCTTATGGTATATTTATCTATAGGAGTACATGATTATTGTAACATCTCAGTAAAATTGTGTAAGGTTTGTTTTTCATACTTAAAAAGTATACCATTTTCAACATTTTCGAGAAAAATATCTATTCCAGATTTTTCTCACTAAAAATATGATTTTTGTATTCCTTTGGATGTAAAAAAATCTTACAAGGAAATTAACCTAAAAATTAGAAGGAATAATAGTTTACATACCTGGTGGAGCACATCACCGGAGCGAGCACTAGGCCCAAGGGACCTGCAAAGCAGGACTCCTTGTGTTTGCCCTGATTGGATGAGCACCAGGTGCGAATCCTATTTTTCCTACCGAGGGCGCACTCAACGTCTAAATGTTTAAAAAAAACGCCCAAAGTAGGAAAACAATTTTTTTTCTCAGGTTTCCTGTAATACTAAATTTTTCTCTCCTAAATGTTTGTTGAATTTGGTATTTTTTATTTACAAATCATTTATAAATGATTCTTTTTAATACTTTAACCAAGAAAAAAAACTAATCATGTTTTGTAATGCAGTATTTTTTGTCAGAGAAAATAGAAAAAGTTTTTGATTAATTGATAGTAACACAGAATTTTCTCTGAAGTTGATTTTATACAAAGCATGAACATAAAAATATTGTGAGAGCAGTTCATAATAATATTCAACATTTAATACGAATTTTTGAAAATAGTTAATTATTAAGGAGACAAATAAAATAGGAAAAAATAATAAGTACATTATAAAGAAAAGTAATATAACAAATAGAATAAAATAAAACTGTTTTATGAATGTTATGTGATTTGAGTAGAAGATAAAAATGACCACTTAAAAAATTTATGATTTATATTAAGTTACATATTTGAAAATGTGACTGGCTTGAAATTATTATTTTTTTAAAGCACTAAATTTTTTTTAGGTGCTCTTATACAATCACATTTTTATCATATTATTAACGTTTGAAGTATGAACTAATAAGATAACCGAGATCTTCTTGTATATTATTCTTTATGTAATTTTTAAATCAAATTCTAAATCAATTTTAGTTTTTTTAATTAGTTCCTAACGTAATTCATACCAAATTATCTACTGGTAGTTCTGCAAACTTACTTATGTTGCCGATTTTTTCCAATTTTTATTAAAACTAGTAATAAGAACCTTAAAAACTGCATAAAAATTTACATAGTCTCAAAG